TCGTACAGTAAATGCCTTTCATCTGAGGTAAGCAAGCGATTGGAGAAGGCCGAGTTGTTTCTTGTAATTTTCAATTTTGTGCTGGTTGATCGATTTAAACTATTATTTTCAAATCTTGTTTGCTCCACGTAATATACATTTAACCAGCATTTGAGAACTATTGCAAACAGTTTAAGTTTTTTTTTTTTTTTTTTTTATATATATATTTTAAATAACAAATGTTTCAGGGCGAGTTTAATTTCAAGTTTGATCTGTGAAATTCACTAAGATAAACATAAAATTCTTTGATATATTAATGGAGGGGAGGTGGGGGGGATTACGAAGGATTTTGCACGAATAGACAAATAGATGAGTAGACAAAAGAATTGAACGAAGAAATGCATGAAGAGAGAGAGAGAGAGAGACGAGCAGAAGGAAAATGGGACAGACGAGGAGACAATTTCAAATCGGCTGAAAATCTTAACATTGATCGACATAGGATACAGAAGGAGAATAACGATATTAAAGCTGCGTTTATAGTGTGAATGAGATTTTTTGCTTGATCTTAGAATACTCATCCCATCTTTTAACTTAATTTTTACTGCTAACGGTTAGTTTATGGTTTACAAGAACGTGCGGAAGGACAAAAGAGAGAGGCCCAAGTAGAGGGATGTACGACAAGGCAAAAGGCATGAACACCGCGAAGAGAAGATGAAAAGTGGGACGGACGGAAAGACAAATTTCAAATCGATTGAAAATCTTACAGTGACATAAGGATATTATGGTTGCCTTAATAGCGTGAGTACGATTTTTTGCGCGACTTTACAATGCTTATGCTACAATTTCAAATCAATGTTTGCTGCTTACAGTTAGCTTATGGAACTTTTCGTATTGAATTTGTGAAATTCTATGTGTTATACAATATCTGAAGAACACAAAAACAGACGGAAAACGTAAATGTATCCATAAAGAAAACGACAAACGGTCACCAAAGAATACATGAGCGCATGACACGTTCACTTCAGAACGGACTGATGACAGGACAAATAGCATCCGCATGAAAGAAAAAAAACGGAAGAGTTGGACGGCGACGGATATTTTCGATTTTCTGCATTATATGCTTTCATTAATCACGTTCACCTTTGTGTACATGTTACAAGCGTCTTGAGAAAATTAATTGAACTTCATCTGTAATTTTGGTATTTACAAACAAGCGAACTAAGTGAACAAATTGTATGATCTTCCAGCTGCCTGTAAAGCTGCCGACTTTTACTTTTATTTTATGGTAAGTTTCATCTCCCTGAACTCTCGCTGCTGCTCTCTATATATCTCCCTCAGTCTCTTCGCCGCAATGACATTTTCAACATGAAAAGATAAATGACTTGTCGATTCAGTGGCCTAGCAATTTGTTTGTTTGTTTGTTTCTTTGCTGGTGTTGTGGTTGTTAACAAAAATATCAAAATGTCAAAATCATAAAAATAAACATTTAAACAAAGAGAAAAAAAAAAACAACAACAAAAAAAGGAAAGAAAGACTATAAACGGAGCGTATGCCATAATAACAACAATCCCACTGATTCGATTTTTTAATTTTTCTTTTTCCTTTTTGTATATATATGTGTGTATGTGTGTATGTGTGTGTGTGTGTGTGTGTGTTAAACAAAATCTATACACATTACTGGGTAAAGTTCAAGTGATTGTTGAATTTATATACAAACAAAAAAAAAAAAAAAACAAATCGTTTTTCTCTCTAACATTTTTTGATCTCTCTTCCTTTCTAAGTGACTCTCATCGCTTTGCATAGCATATAGAGTGTGTGTATGCTGTGTGTGTAAGTATGTTTATGTTATTATAAATAATCATATATATATATATTTCAAACTTACCATTTCTTTACGCAACGTTGCAATTTGATTATCCAATTTACTTCCGGGTATCGCTGGTGGCACATCCGATATCGTTGTTGTCATATTGTTGCCATTAATTTCATTTAATGCTTTCGTTATCACTTGAGTTGTGGCGGCAAGTTTATCACTGTTATCATTATTCTGGTTACTATTATTCAATTTACTGCTGCTGTTTTTATTATTATTATTATTGTTGTTGTTGTTGTTACTATTTGTATCATTAAATTTATTTTTATTATTGTTATCGTTCTGGTTGTTGCCATTATTTAAATCACTATCTTTTTGGTTTTCATCCGTCAATAGCAGCATATCATCATAATTTCTTACATTTTCTATTAAATCAATCGATTTTGCTGAATTAATTGTTGCCGTCATTGCTAATGCATCCAAATCACTGGTTAGACCTGAATCGGATCCAAGCATTTTATTTATACCGCTTAAACTTTTCGGTAACGGAGGCAGATCGTTCATTGACATGATTCTGTAAAATGAAAAAAAAGAAAAAAAGAACAAAATATATAAGTAAATCCATATATAAGGAATCAATACATAAGGCGAACTGATAAGTTGAATGTCGAGAAAAAATCTTAAAGTGTTTATGGTCCGAAAGCGAAAATATTAACAAGAATAAATAGCGTTTCGATAAGAGAGTAGTACACATAACCCTATCGCTAGCCTAACCTTAGCTATCTAATTTCTTATAAAGGATTAATATTTTCTCTCGAAAGTAAGCCATGAGAGGGTAGGCTAGGCTTGGTGTGTCGTGCTTTACTCCTATCGAAACTATTGCTTGGCAACAACTAATGCAATTACGACGAAAAACAATCGCAATCTAACAAAATCATCATGATATCGTGAGTTTTCCGGTGTAAAGAAATCCGCTCAGGAAATTGTTGCAATTCTAGCCTGGACTGTCTAACCATACCCGCTTTTATCAACAGACATTCGAACGTTGCAATCGACAGGAGTTTTAATAGTGTTCGCGGATGGTGTTGACATTCTTATGACGATACGCAAATATTGGTTCTTCTGTGGGTAACTTCAAAAGGCCAATTATGCGTTTCGCATTTAATATATATTCTGCGTAAAAGATAAGAGACATTATGGCCCTTATTCGCCAACACATTGAACAAATTAACACCTAAGGAATAATTCTTAAGGTTTTTATGAAATTAATTGTATCAATAAAAATTCGTAATAAATAATAGTCGGAATTCGTTCAGAGGATTTCATTCAAAATTCTACGGAATCATAGGAAGATCGAAACAACCCCCAATTACAATAACATACTGCACAAGTTATTACAAAATAAAAAAAGTGGACCCGTTACAATGCTATTAAAATGCCTGTCGCCCATTTAATAGTCAAATAAATATTGTTCAACTAAAATTGTATATGTATGTCATAATTTCGGACAAGGAAAATACAAATGTATTAACTATATTTTCGTATAAAAGCCCAAATTCAATTCAAAATCCTCTGACAATCTTTAACTATTAGAAAATACCAAGAGGTGAGAGAATGCTTTGTTTTATTGTTTGTAACTAAAGAGTGGAGCAGAATATTGCGACAATCAGCCTGAGCTATAAAAACCATTAGCATCTTTAAAAAGTAAATTGATATTTCAAATAATGGTTTAACTATTACATCATTTAGATCGTAACACATACACACACACACACACACAGACAGAGCTAACATATTTCTGGCAACATAATTTATTCTATTGTTTCATCTATCCAAACACAAATGCCTTATGCGGAGCAGCTGCTTGAAGGCAAGAGAGGAAATATTGTGATACACAAATTGTAATCAATACAGTCATGTTTGGCTTTATTTCTTTCAACGATTCTGGGTCACAAACGATCGATCGAGTTTTGTCGTTACAAACTAAAGCTAAACTCTCAATGGCTGCATGTAAGTATGACAACAACCTCTAGAGGAAAACCAAATAACTGCATACATCTGCACAATACAAACTAAGAATGATTGTTGTGGTAATGTTAAATGTCGTTCATAACTTTACGGTCTTCCAATATAAACTAATGTTTGCTGAGTGAAGAAAAACAAGATAAACAAGCAATAACCATAAATTTTAGATTATTTTATAACCACAAATTTAAACAAAAAGAAAATAAAAAAAAAAAAAAAAAACAAAGTAAAAAATAATAAAAAAAAAAAATGCAATTCTCTTTTTTTTTTTGCATTTTCTTTTATTGCAATTTATGACTTTATTTAACAGATGAGTGATTGAATTATTATAGATTTGCGAGTAAATCCATACATACATACATATATACATACAATTGCTATTAGTTAGTTCTCTATGAAAAGTTCCATATAGTTTTGCTCATATTTCAGTAAAGCTTATTGCACTGACATTAATGACTGACAGAAAGGCAGACGGAAAACTTTATATGAAACTTAAATTTCAAGTTAACGCATTTCCCGGTATATCAACACTTTGTTCCGAATTATTTCTTTACTCATTTATATATACGTATTAAGCAACTAGAACGTAATATACACGCGGTGACTTCTACATTTTGAAATGCTTAACAATGAACTGAGACTACTACTACTACTACTCACGTGCCAAATTCAAAAGTGGATCTTTTTTTTTGGTTTGCTATTACGTATAAACAGGGTGTTTAAACTTTTTCAATTCAAGAATTGTCATAATCATGCATAAAAGTTGCTCGAATATAAATTATATTATATATCTTGAATTCCGTATCTTCTTGATATGTCTGTCATTCTAGGCCATAGTAATCTTTCGTGTAATGACATTCGCTCTAGAAAACCTAATGGTAAAACTAACAATGTTGGACACTTCTATTTTGATAGAAAAATACTGCTTTCCTTTAAACACCCTACAAGCGGTACTAATTTATTTCGCATAGATGCATTTACCGGAGGAAGTTCTTGCTGATGATGCTAAGATGATGCCAATTAGCATTTGTTCTTTACCCATTTTTTGCCTCCTTTTAATGTTCAACGTATACGAAAATGGTCCGTAGAGCACAAATATTGATTATAAAGATTTTTTTTTTTCTACTCTTATCTCTTTAATATGAAACGTCACTTAAATCAATCATTAAAAAAAGAAAAACCTACATTTGTACAGTAAAGACCTGAATATTCGAAACTTCTCTTTTGATACATTATCAGCATAATAACCCCCTATCTTCTATTATTGCAAGAAATCGGGTAGCACTTCTTAACCCAAATATATTACTTTCAGTACATTATGCAAACATCAATCTACATAGTCATGGGTATATTATATTCGTTGTGTATATTCTTCCGAGAAAATGTATTATCTTTAGTTTAAAAAATTCATTTATTAAAATACAAGTAAGCATTGAAGTATCACAGCGAATCGACATAAACCGAATATAATTTTTTTTTTTTGTTTATGTTTCTTCTTTTTTTTTTTTACTAAACGAAAATAACTCACCCGGTTTCTTTTTCTATAAGGGATATATTTAGAGAATATTTTCTGTTTTTCTTTTTTTTTTTTTTCATTGTTTTTGTAATATTTCTCTTGGGCGCACAAAAAATTATGAGAAATTCACGTTTCGGTTAATATGTTTTTGACATATTTATACGTCATGAACATAAATATGGGCTATATTTGTATTAAGCATATTACATTATTAGTCTACTGTCAGCAGAGGGCTTGAATTGCATACTTTTTTAAAAAAATCAACAAAATATTTCTCAATTATATTGTCTACATGCACAGCAAATCAAGTCGTTTATTATTCTTATTATTATTATTTTTATATTAAGAGAGAAAGCATAGACTTCCTTGTATCTATCTTCCTTGTTGTCTTAATTAAAAAAAAAATTCTAAGCGGGAGAGCATAACATAATTCGAATATAAATTCTATTCTTTCGTAATGTAAAAATGAAAATATATACGCGTTCACGTTAGAGGCTTGCAACCTGCACCCACATCATTGGCACGTTGTGAAAGTAATAGCGTATTTTAGTAATTGATGTCACTGTTTCATTTATGTTTATGATACATAAGAGCTATCGAACCGCCAGTTTGCTGTATGTTACCCGAAGGTTGTCAATTCCAGTTTGATTATAAAACATTTAAGTGAATCAAGTGAATGATTTTTTTAAATTTAAAATGAATAAATAAATTGAATGACGTAACTATGCATTTTGAATATTTATTGATTTTGTTTTTGCCTGAGTGTTGGCAAAAAGTAGTCGCCAGCAAGGGATAATATTTTGATTAATCTCGTCACTCATTTGGTTCTCAAATAAAAACAATTTCGATTACAAAGTACCGACTAAACCACTCACACTATTGATGGGAAGTTGAGTACAATTGACGGTATATGAAGATCATACCACTTTCATTGACTATTCTCAGATGACGCTTGCACTTTCCATGTCGGTAAAGCCGGCGGAACGAAACGACGACCCTTGTGTAAGAATATCCTTTAGGTACCTGGTTAGTGGATACAGAGTGGGACTATCAAGTTGATATATCCATAGTTCAATCCTCAGTTCAGAGTGTTGTACTTTAATTACGATTAGGATGTGTTCGTAGGCACGACGTGTGCTCGGTCTATAAATTCATAAGTTTCAAGGAACGAACACACGTCTTCCAGACTTACCACCACTGCTTATCTCTTTCTCTTCACTCCTTTCTAACCGCTATCATGTTACGCCTAAAGCAGACTTTGCTCTAACAAAACCTTTGAATTTCTAAAATCGCTTTTAAGACAATTGAGTATTGAAACCCTGACTCAGGTTTATATATGTTTCGAAAGTAACTAATTAACTGAAGTCGAATATTATTTCTGATGTTATTTGAAAAGAAGTTTTGAAATCTCTTGTGTCTGCTTTGTTTTATAGCCTGCATTCTGTTCCTACTAAGATCTAAAAGTCAAAAAATCTACACTTGTCAGCATTTTTGCAAAACACGCTTCCGTTTCTAGTATGTTAGTCGAAGAGATATTTCTCTATTATATGTAATAAAACCTGTTCAGAATAATGTAAAAACGCTTTATCGCCTTTCTTATCTTTCAAGAACCGTTTCCATTAGGTCATTCTATCATAAACTTACTTCACCTTATATGAAGCTAGAAAGATTTCAATGGCAGACCTCGGAATGTAACCTTCTCATTTAGGAAAAATCCTCCTAAATCGAGCAGGTAGTTCTGCCCATTGTATATAAACGGTATTGCACGTTCTTTTTACCCAAATCGAAGACAATGCGCCCTAGTGTTTCTTTTAGATTTTTAGTACGCAAAACCTAATGAATATTTTTCGAGATTATGACTATACAAGCCAAGAATGTGAGAGTAACCCGAAGACTACTACACGCTGCATGTCAAAGCAGAAATTTTCAATTTACTTTTTTTGCCTTCTATACCACGACATCTATTTCAAATATGCGCAGATCTTTAATCGCATTAAAGCAATAAATGTCGTTCATTCAAATTTCTATTTCTA